TTCAGGTTTGGTATGCCATACGAACTGCATTCAGATCAAGGCCGTAATTTTGAATCATTTGTGTTCCATGAATGCTGCAAGTTGTTTGGCATAAGAAAAACCAGGAAAATGCCACTTCACACACAGTCTGACGGGATGGTAGAAAAGTACAATTGGACACTAGGACAGGAATCGGCAAAGTTTTGTAATAGCCAAAAGATGACTGGGATGTTTTACTTTCTCCACTCTTGATGGCCTATAGAACAGGAGAGCATGAAGCCACTGGATACACTCCAGCGAAACTGATGTTTGGTCGGGAACTTCGGTTGCCAGTGGACCTGATAACAGGATGCTCACCTTACGAGGAGTTGCCTGAAAATGTGCCAGAGTTCGTGAAAATGTTATCTGAAAGTGCGTTCAAACTTAAAAACGTTTGCTGATTCCATGAAGATATGTTATAATTAGAAATCTACTGAAGTCAGCTTTGTACCAGGAGACAAGGTGTGGTTGTATAATCCCAGGAAGACCAAAGGGAAGTCTTCTAAGTCGTCTCCTCCATGGGAAGGCCCATATGACATAGTGGATCGTCTCTCAGACGTCACTTTCCGAATAAAATGTGGTCGGCGAGGTAAGCCAAACGTGGTGCATGTCAACAGGCTTTGGCGTTATCACGGGCCGGGACATTTCAGTTGAAATGAAATGAACAACAGAACAAATGACACTGCTCAAGATGTGTCACCTGAAAAAGCCACTGTTGAAGAAGAAATTGTACCCACTTTTGAGAAGGGAAACAGTGAAGCCCTTAATGAAGTTACTATCACTGATGTGACTGTTACCAATAATAGGACATTTCCTGATGGAGCAGATGAACCCCATGTGAAGCAGAAGCCAACGAGACAGAGAACAGTACGAAAGAAGATACGTTCCGTAAAATTAAGAGACTTTGTAATTTTAATTTTGTGTTTGTAAATTATGTACATTTAATTAAGTTATTGTTAATTTTCTATTGGTTTAATGTAAGTGGCTATTATTCGAGACGAATAATACTAAGGAAAGGGCAGTGTTACACAGCGAAAGTCACGTGATGCTGCTAGCGCATGCGTGACTGAGTTTCTCGAATTATCAGGGAACTCCCCGAATTTTGGCGAAGCCTCTTTGTTAGTATATAAGCCTGGCGAAAAAAGCCAGCGGTAATGAATGTATGATAGAGCGAACAGTAGTCACGGTGAGTTTCGGGCTAGTGTGTGTTTGCACTCATATAGAGCAAAGTTATCGAGATTGTGAATCGTTGTGATTTACAGCGTGTTATAAAGGTTGTTATGTTTAAAGTGACGAGAAACGTACTGACTGTGGAATTACTGTGTACTAAAATTTTGTATCAAGAAAGAATAAACTAGTTTAATTAAGAAGGGACTTGTATCGCTGAAGTTCCTCAGAAAGAATTTATACCGGAAATTAACAAACAAGCAGATACGCAACAATATGTATATAAAATAAAGTGTACTTGTTAAAATAAATCTTATAGAGCGGTCAGAGTATTTAGTTCGATCATTTATTTCCAAGAACAGTTAATTGATCTATAAAGTTGAATGTAATTTACGCTTTGATTTATTTTGTGTTCATGGTATTTGATTTATTTAGTTATTTAATAACATTTACAAAAATGTATGCATTCATTGTCACAAATTTTGTTTTATTTCAGCAACAATTATAACTTCTAAGAACTTGTGTGGAATCTCTCAATCTTTCCAAAACGACTTAGCTATACTTAGCCTGAAACTAAGTAGATTACTGCCATTATTTTCTGTGATATTTGCTATTTCTTTTCAAGGTATTTTTATAAACGTACCAGTATTTGCTTTCACATAAAAGTGTAAACTACATTTTATGGCCAAATTCAGAAGCCCGCCAAAATATTTCTGTGTTCGATTGCCCTATTCAGTGACTTTCATATGTTTATTATCATTTTTTGATTTTGCAGCTAATTCATCTTCCTCTAATAAACAAAATGATAAATAGTCAGAGTAGTATGCTTTAATTTTTAACAATACATATGTGAGGAAATTAGCATAATATATTCAATAAGAATCTTCACGAATAAAATAAATATATTTTATATTTATCTACACTACAACAGACAGTTCCGCGTAAAACGAATTCGCTAAGCGCATGTCACAGCGTCGTAGGTGTAGTGGAATTATTTCGCAAGTGGAGTCCGGTTAAAGAACGGTTTTTGGTAAGAATGAACATTACACTTTTAAAGTCTTTCGCTTATTTCTAACAATTTAAATTCGTACTTACTAACCAGTCAGTTTTATTTTATTTGTAGGGCTTTACTTTTGTGTTATTTGTTCCAGATATTGAGTATTACAGTATACAGTAATAGTAATATTACTGGTACTTAGGAAAAGTACGAATGTATAAAAATGCTGTACCAACATTAATGGCGTAACTTCGATCTCCAAACCTTTGTTACATACAAGTAATACTAGTAGTATTAGTACTACTAGTAGTTATAATAGTATAAATTGTCGATTGTTTCGGATTTTATTTGACAGTAGGAGTTAGGTTTTTTTAATGTTATAAATTTGTAAGTATGTCCACGTGTATATTTTTTTGTGACTGATTCAATGATTGTAGCTTTCTTGTGACTGTATTTCACAATCAAAATGTAAGTTATAAGTATAACTGTTGCTAATATTAATAAATATTATTATAACAATTAACATTATACACTTACTTTTAGTAGGGGGTTTTGGTGATTTTTTTAGATAATGAAAATAAAAAAAATTCACACCATTGGATTCCACAAACAGAAATTAGTAGATTTACACCGCAAGTTCAATTATGTAGTTCATAATTAATGAAAAACAATTAAAATCGTACCTGTAAATTGACCCTTCCCTTTGGAACAAAATGTTAGCGATATATTGCTTTACCTGGTAAACTGATTCTGCATGACACCCATGTCAAGGCAATAGAAAATATAGTCTCAAGAAAATCGATCAATGTCAAACTCATACACATGTATAAGTATTATATGGATAAAAGAAATGAACATTTTCAATTAACTAAGTGTTAGAAATAAAGTGTGAGCATACCTAAGTACATTATGAAAGGATTTTATAATGATGGTTGAAAACTTGAAATAACATGATTGACAGATATGTACGAGTAGTAAATTCCACCCTTTCTATGTTGATAAATCATATCATTAAGTTCAAGTTATTAGTTATCCCAAGATATAAACGTAATAGAAGAGCTAAGGAAATAAGCATTTGTCTATGAATTATCAATGAAATTAGTAATAAGTGGAGATATACTATGATATTTAAGGAACGTTAGTAACAAAAGTGGCCTATTAATAGAATAATTACTGGTAAAAATCAGTTTAGATTAACAACCTTCTAATATATAGAAAAGTTAGTGTGTTTTGGTAACACTGTGTTCCAGTGTTTTGTCTGCTATTCAATATTGCTTTCATTATGTGGAATGGACATGCTTCAATTTTAGGATATTATGTTGATAATTATATTAATTCTAAAAGCACAGGTGAAAACTATTTTCAAGACTGTGTTGTCCTTGCTCCACTAAAGTTATTTGCATAATTATTCATAAATATGAATGGCATGCATTAAGGTTATATCTTGTATTCTGTTTTGTAAAGTACTTCATTTCCATTTAACATAGATATTGATTGCATAACTCTCTAAGTTAGAGTTGTGATTTCTAATTATTGAACATGTATACATATAAATCACACTCTTGTTTAATATACAAACGAGACTGCCATTGTTCATACCACTTTTATTGTAGACAATTGCTGCACATGTTCTTTTGCTGTAGCCACACCCAATGATATGATGTAGAGCAAACTGTTATCAGAACAACATAGTCTGCTTACAACCAACGATATGATGTAAAGCAATGTTTCCAGGATAACCAATAGGCTGTTTACAATCTCCATTCATCATTTTCTGTCATGCTGTCAGTTCAAGTTGAGCAGACATCTATGTATTAGTTTATGCATTATGTATTCCGCAACACCAAGTTTTTGATACCCTTGTGTCAATTGATTCAATGGATAAATGAAATTTTTAATGCTTTTTGATCCAATGAAACTAGCTAGACCAAAGTAGAGCATGAAAAGAGCTAATGTTTGATGTATGACTGGTCCTTACTGGTCAGTAGCTTTGTGCAAAATTCTAAACAAACCAAAACCTTACTGGTCAAGTCAATACAAACCGACATGCTGGTTTCAGTTTTAACATTTGCTTGCTGGTTGCTGATAAATGGTGATTGATGACTTTAGCAATAATCTTGTTAGTTTTTAAAGCCAATTTCAAACTAGTGGGAGTACGATTGCCTTGAAATATATCATTCCAATTCAGCATGTGTTAGTAATATAGATGTTTTCCATTTGTTGTTTGGTGTACAATCATTCATACTTTATGTATTTGAGCTTTTGGAAACTGTTCAAGATGGTTTTCTTCACCAATTAAAGAACCTACTAGAAACAATGCTATTTTAGATTTATTGTTAACTTCAAATATAGAAATGATCGAGCGTGTGGAAATTGGGTAACATCTGGGTGCAAGTGGTCATTGCTTTATTAGGTTCAATGTTTTGCTGCATATGATATTTTGGTTACAAGTTTCAAAAAAGCAAATTTTGAAGGAATGCAACAAGAATTATCTGTTGTGAATTGGCCAGCTGGATTACTTGAAGACACTCATCAGATGTGGAAAATCTTTAATGATAAATTTTTAAATTTTCAAGATAAACATATCTCTTATAGAAAGAAAAGGGTAGCTGCAAGTAAAAAAAACAACAGGTTGGCTTACAAAGAGTATGAGATAAAATTAAAGAAAAAGCATAATAAATTTAAGAAATATAAGTTAACTGGTATGACAGGAGATTTAGAAGATCAAGAAAGTTGGTGAAACAGGAAATTAGGACATAAAAAAGGATATATGAGAAAAAGTTGGCTAAAAATGTAAAACATAATGGTAAGGATTTATTTAAATACACTAAGGGTAAACAAAATGTTAGGATGGAGTAAGACCCTTGAGGGATGATAAAGGAGGGCTTGTATCTAATGATTATGAGATGGCTGGGTTATTAAATTTTGCTTTTTCTTTGTGTTTCCTAATGAAGATTTAAGCAGTATTTTACATCATGAACAGTTGATCAAACAAATTGACTGCATTAATTCTGAGCTGGTTAAGAAAAAATTGGGAAGTTTATAGAATAATAAGTATCCTGGGCCAGGTAATATTTCCCAAAAGGGTTTTGAAGTAGGTTAAAGATTGGATATGTGAGCCACTTGCTACTATTTTTTGGCAGCCCTTGAATAATGGGCAGGTACCAGAGAATTGGAAGTTAGCTGATGTAGCTTCTCTTTTCAAGGGAGGTGATAAAGACATTTCCCAGTAAGTATAGACCCATTAGTCTTGCATCAGTTGTGGGAAAAGTTTTGGAAAGTCTGACGAAAGATGCTTTGCAAATTCATTTAACAAATTTTAAAATTGTATTGGATAGTCAA